AAGGAAAAAAAAAAAAAAAAAAATCAAAGAAAAAAACAAGACAAAGTTCATTTGAAGCATAACCTTCATCACCATTTTATCAATGCTGAGTCCCGACTGCCTGCTCGATAGGAGACGATGCAGCTTCCTTCCTATGTAAGCTCCTCCTAATAGTCAACAAACCCCCGACCCTTTGAAACATCGTTTTCACTCTCCTATGTGACCCTCTCTCATTGTCCGAATCTCCCGAGCAGTCAAAGTCCTCTGACCTCCTCACCCAAAACATCCCCCTCTCCCTTGCCGACTGTGGGGTCCGCGGCTCCGACTTAGGCGTCTCCGCATTTGCGTCGAAAATCGAACCCTTCAACGCCTCCGCCTTCGCCGGATCCTCCTCGTCGACCTCCCTCTCTCCCTCCGGCTCGTTCATAAACTTCAAGTCCTCGAGATTGAAACTAAAGTTTTTGTTCATATTATTATTCTCATTCTTCTTCTCCTCTTCCTCCTCCTCCTTATCTTCATCTTCATCGTGATCGTTCGATCTGAACTCGGTCGAGGCTTGCGAGAGAAGAATCTTCAGCTGTTTCGCGTTCTCGTGGGCCGCGGCCTCGCTCATCCTCAACCGCTCGTTCTCCCGAGTCAGAAAGTGGAGGCGCTCATCTTTTTCCGAGACGGAGTCTTGTAAATGGGAGTTTTCCTCGCGCGCGATGCCGGAGGCCGCCTTCGCGGCATTCGACTCGTTGACCGCCTGCTTGAGGATGTCGCGGAGCTTGTACGTCTCTTCCCGCGCGGACCGCATCATGTTCTCCGCGGCCTTTAGGGACTCCAAGAGCCTCGAGTTCTCGCGTTGGGCCAAGGCCCGTTCCTCCTCGGCCCGTTTGATGCAGCTCACGAAGCCCATCTCTTTCGCGTTCAATGCGAGGAGGGTCTCCTCGGCCTCGAGACGGAGGCGGTCCGCCGTGTTCTTGTGGAGCTCGGATTCTTGATTGGCCTCGTGGAGCGTTTTTCTCAGTCGCTCGGTTTCGAGTTTTGTGTGGTTCAGCTCGGTTCGCGCGGACTCGAGTTTTTCCTTGGCTCGGTTGGACTCGGTGGCGACTTCTTTGAGGGCTAGGGCTAAGTCCTCCATGGCTTTCGCGCTTTTTTCCTCCGACTCGATCGCGAGCCGCCACTCGTTTCGGATGACTTGCATTTCCTCGCGGAGGATCTTTTCGGCTTTCTGTGCCGATTGTAGCTCGATCTTGAGTCGGCCGATCTCGTTTTCTTCGTAACTATTATTTTGAGTGGATAATTTTTCTTCTAGAGACCCGATTATTTTCCGTAGGGTGACGATCTCGATCTTGGAGCTCTCGAGCTCTTTGGCTTGGAGGGCTAAGGATTCCGACATTCTCGATTCGGATGACTTTTGTCTCTCGAGCTCGTCTTGGAGTTGTTGAACCCGTTTCATGCTCTCGTTTAGTGATGCGTTTGCGCTTTTTTCGCTCTCCCTCGAAAAGCTTAATTCGTTCTTTATTAAATCGAACGATGTGACGATTTGGCTCGCTTTCGCGAGCTCGGATTCCAAGGAGTCGATCGTTTTGGTCTTGGTTATCGACTCGTGTTGCGAGGCTTCGAGCAATTTTCGAGCGTGTTCGAGTTCGGCTCGGAGGTCGTTGGCTTCCTTTGCCTTCATGTAATTGGCCTCTTCTTTTGCCCTTTTAATCTGATCAAGCATTTGTTTGTTTTCGAGTTTAGTAATGTCGAATTTCTCTTTGGTCCTCCTCAACTCCTCTTCCATCTCCCCCATCTGCTGCTGCATTGTTGTCATAGTGTGGGCCCGGTTCTATACAATCCCAACCAAAAAATAAAAATAAAAATAAAAATAAAAAACGAGAAGGTTTTTTGTAAATGAATAAAAAAACAATGGGAACAAATAGGTATGGAAAAAGTAAAATGGGAAAAAAAAAATATGAAACCTTTGATTTAAGGGCCTCCGCATCAAAATGTGTCCCTATAACATCGCCTCTGCAAAGCTTTGATGCAGAAAGTGTTCTTGAAAATACGGATGAATAATTCTTCTTCTGTGTAATATCAATAGAACCTGATCTACAAATCCACCACAAATCACATATATTCAATTAACAACATTCAATTATCAAAGATTCTTTCATTCTGACATGCTAAAAGGGTATATATTTATACAATAGTATTCAAATAATGGAAAGAACAAGCAAAAGAAAAAAAGAAAAAATTCAAATTAGGAGCATGTAGCATATGAATCCTCCGAAAAAACCTCTGTAAACACAAAATATAGAGACCAAGAAAATAACTTAAATTGTTTCAATGATAAATTAAGAAGATAAAAAAAATAAAAAATTAATAATATTGAAAATGTGTGCAATAGAACAATATGCATGTTGTATAGTACCTTGATTTGGAACGTAACATTTTTATTTTTTTCTAATCTAATTCCGCGGCTTAGAATTTTCCTCGGCTATCTTAGGATAATCCGAAACTGTAAGAAGATGGGACAATAAATTATACGAATATAATTAATGTTTATTTATTTTTGATTGCGCGTTGAGGTTATGTTTTGTGTTGAAAGGTTTTATTGAACGAGTCCGAAGTTGGCGGAGCAACGGATAAAGCCAAGAGAGGGAGAAATAATTATGGGGAAAAAAAGACAGATAAAGAAACTTCGATTACATATGTAAAAGTAATTATGTAGATGATTTGATTGATAGGAAACTTAATCTGATTGCTTAATTATGCTTGCAAGATGAGAAACTAAGAAAATATAAATTACAATTTCGATTGTGTAACTATATATGAAGAATTCTGTGAGTTTGACACTGTCATGTGCCAAAGAAGATTGAAAGAAGAAGTAACCAAGCACCACAATTAAAGAAGATTCATGAGAGTTTGACATTATCATGTGGCCGGCAAACAAGACCTAGGAATTTGTATGTTATTATTTTTATTCAAACGTCTAATTTGAATTAATAAGACTAATTAATACCTTGGTTTTGTAAGTAGAAGAATTGGATCTAAGTCTCGGTAATCACAAATTTGAATTGTGTGACAATACATTTTATCAGAAATTCTATGCAGCAATCGATGGTTTTTTTATGGAGTCTTCCATGACTTTATGTATTGACATATGTCCAAAGTGTATTTATTGTAGAACATTTGTCAATATAGTACTAGTGAGCATCCCGTGTGATGACCTTATTCTATAAAACTTTTTATACAACTTATTTTAAATATAATTATTTATATTTAAACATCTCATTATGGCAATAAAAGAAATCTCATTATGGCGAAAAAAGAAATTCAACATATGAAAAAATCATATAATACATTGATTGCATAGGATGAGTCTCCACAACCAAGCCAATAACATCTAATAAAAATTGATTATATACATTATCATCGATTTAAAATACAAAATAATATATAAACTATATTTAAAATAGTAGTAAACAAAAAAATCAATATATTATAAAGAACATTCAATGTTCCATACCTAACAACATCGATTCATTGACATTATCATATCAATTAACATTACAAAGCTCCTAAAATCGACTTTGAATCTTATCTTATCATTAATTATTAAAAATTATAATTCGGATATGAGATGAAATATGACCAAATATTTGATTGAAATATGATTAGTAACAATCTGATTTTGAAAACTATCAAGTCAAATTATTTTCGTGCAATTGTATGGTTCAATATCGTTAATTGGTTTAATTTTATTTCACGTGCGAGACGGCATAGTATGGAATTATTATATGCCATGAATTATATTATATGAATAATTCATATATATCAAATATATGTGAAATTTTTATTAGATATATATGGTTCTTAGTTAGATAAGTACGGAAATGAATCAGTGCGATTGAATAAAAATACTTTGAATTTCTGAATGTGAAACTCAAATAAAAGCGTGATTATTCAAAAATAAAAAATAAAAAATCATATTCAATGATTCTAAATTATTTAGGCAGTAATTTGATTAATATTTTAGATTAAATATTTAACTTTTTTGATATTAATAGATATAGATACAGTATAACATTCAACTATTCAACTAACTAAAGCTCATGTCATAAATAAGGACTTAACAGATTAATGTGTACATAATAATCAAGGACTCAACAAAGTACAATCAACACGGAATAGACCAATTTTCGTGAAGGAATCTCCAAACCAAAACGACAAACCAAAAAACACGTTGTGTCACTCATATGAACTCAAATTATTGTCATTAATCTTATATGCACAAAGCAGCGAGAAAAGTAAAATAGATCATGTATTACATAATTAAACATAATTAAATGAATCTCTTCATCATCACTTTTATCGTAAATCATCACATATCACCATGTCACCAAGTATAACCGATTCACGTGGAAAAGTGAAAAGGGAAAGACAAGAAAGGAATAAAAATCTAGAAATCAAAGTCGTCACCCATATCATCCATGGCGTTGTTGTAATCATCCGCATAGGCAGCCGCCTCCCCGACGTCCGACGCCATCTCCCCAATGAGAATACATAAGAGGCCCCAAATTTGTTTTTATTTTATTTTATTTATTATTATTATTATTTTTTTTACTGACTCGGATAAATAAAAATTAAGGATTCAAACCAATCACCAGTAAAGAAAAGAAAGGGTAACATTTTATGAATTCTAGAACAATCCTCAAGGAGCATAAAGAACAACCTGTTGATAATCAGGTCAAGACGGTAAACTATTTATTCTACACTCTCTGAAAACATATATGGCACTTAAAAGTTATATTTTTTATATGAATACATAACACCTAAATTACTTTCAACAAATCCACTTTAGACAAGCTACTCAAGCAGTCAGAAGCCAATTTGAACATTCTGAAAATTCTTAGCAAAAAACACAATTCTTGATGCTTCCCAAATGCTTATTTTTATTTGTTTTTCGTATCATAAATTGATTACCTAACATTTTATCAAAGAGTACACAAGCAAAAAATTAAAACCACTGACAATAAAGAACAGAAGAAGGGCTCAAAGATGCTAGTGACCAAATCCACACAAGTATACACACACGACGGGTAAGAGAGAGAGAAGTTACAACTTACAGAGATGGGAACCAATAGGGTGGAGGGCCATGGAGGGAGTCATCACAAGAGCCTTTGGATCGGGAGGCAACTAAAAGGGGACTTGGGTACAGAAAGAGTAGGTCGAGCCACAACCCTTGAATAGCCTGGTCGAACTCAATCTACAGAGCAGATGGTCGTTTGAACGGCCAGAACTCAAGTGTTAAGCAGTCAATGCTTCACCCCTAATCGACCTAGACTTGGTCGAGTGTTCGAGCCTTCGGGGAGATCTCAGAGAATCAAATCTCCATGTGAAGAGAACACGTGGCACGACCTGAATGGTTCATATTGCATAACCGTCTTTTACACACCTTCAGTGTGTGTTGTACGATCGGGCAGGCCGGGCAGTTTTGGGAAGCCAGCTCAGCTCAGCTCATCCGGACAGCCTTCTAGAAGCCAGCTCAGGGTCATCTGGGCAACCTTCTATTTTAGCATGAGATTTCTATTATACTTTTGAGAAAATTGAGTTGAAAAAGATACTTATTTAAACATCGGAGGCTCTTCACCGAAAAACCCCTTCGGTGTGAGAGTTTTTGCTGGTACTCGACGTTCTACCGACGAGGAAAGCGAATGCGAACCGAATCTTGGCCGGTCGGAGTGTTTGACGTACCAATATAGATTGAATAATTGCACGAGGTACATAGTTAACTAGTAACTGATCTTGTGCACATGCACATATATAAATCATAGAGCATTATAAATTATGTGTATATATAATATTAAAATTATAAAATAGATAATGTAAAATTGATTATGAATAAATGAACAATATAAATATAAATTATTTAATTACAAAATAATCTATATATTGATTGCATAAAATTTTAACACATAACATATGTTTATGTAACTTTGATGGATCATGACGTATTAATAACCTAGAAAAATACTGAAACAATAATATTTATTACATAAATAGAGTAAGAGGTTTTTTCATGCCATGATATTAATTATATGATTAAGAAATTAATATTACTTTTAGAATAAATAGCTTGAAAAAAATGCAATATATTTTTTTGTGATTATGTAACTTACGAATTACAATTATTTGATTTTAGTAATAACGATTTGTATGATAAAATAACTAATAGAATGTGATCAAAGCCTTATTAAGCCCAAAATGGTTTAGCTGGAAAAGTAGGCTCTCAAATCTATACTTATATTAAAAGGTATACCATTTACCAGATTTAGTATAAAGAAAAGTCAATAACATTTATTGCATTACTATTTCCGTATTATACAATCTATACTTATATAAAAGGAGATTCTATTTACTACATTTATTATCCAGAAAAGTCAACTGCACTAAATGTCATTATTATTTTGGTATTATAATATTTTATTTATTTAATTGATTTATTTATTTGTTTTATTTTAAAAAGGTATGTATAATAAAAATATTTTAATAATAAAAAAATCAAATACCAAATAAAAATGTACACTTTGACTTATTTGATTATATTTGGTATTTGACTATACCAAATATATTCCTATTTAGTATATAAATTAAATACTTACTAAAGTATTTATTTGTTTTATTTGTCAAAGTTAAGTATAGATTTGTTTATATTATCAAATCATAAAAAAAATATTAAATCCATATTTAAAAAAAAAATCATATAATTTTATAAAAATTCTACTACACTATTTAACAATATTTCTTTTTTATTATATAATAAAATAATAATTAAATATTATATGGTGAACAACTGTTACTTTCTCTTATATCAGGGGATAAATTTATATGCTAAAATTAAATTTTTATTAGTATAAATGTTTTAGTGAGATAATATATTAATTATTTTACAAGGTAGCCCTAACATGCTCATATTTAATGTTTTAAAAGATGTAGAAAAAAAACTTATAATAACTCTATTGTTTTTTAAACTTAAACGTTGATTAAAAGAGGTAAAAATTCCTAATTTTTTAGACTTAAACGTTGATTAACACCATAGATTGAGAGTTTATATTTAATAAAATTCCTAATTGTAATAAAAAAATTAATTTTTGCTATATTTGAGAATATCTTTAAATTCATTAATAAAAAAAGGAAAAAAAACTACAATGAAATAAGCAAGTCAGCTATATATCGATTTGTTGTACTCCTCAAATCTCATTCACAATTTGGCTACAAGGAAAGGAAACTCATTGATTAAAATATTATTTTGTCAGTAGTCTTAATGTACAAGAGACTTTAAGACTCCACTTGAATATTATAAATCTTTTATTGAACATTGTACAATTTTCTTGCGTATTATAAATTTTTATTGAATATTGCATCTTATAATATAATATTCTCCAAATAAATATATCTCGTGTTTTGCACGGGTCACGTACTATATATATCCCGTACATTTTTCTTTATTCATGTATATAATTATAAGCCTGGATAAATAACCTTAAAATTGTGCACCCCGTGCATCGCACGGGTTCTATACTAGTTAATTGGAATTAGTCTTCCACTTTTATAATTTTTTTTTTTGGTCAACTGGGGGTATCCCTACATTCACTCAGCTATCTCACCACATCGACTTTTATCATTTGGAAAACAGTAAATGCCGCAATTACTGATCATCAAGCTAATAATATAGTTCACTACAATAATAATGATAATTTCATCCATCCACTCGGCTCTGATAAGCCACAATGCTCTGTCTGTACGAGTTTTCATTCGTTAGTATCTCAAATTCTCAATGAGCATACAATGGACTACACAATCAACACATGTTCTGCAGGAAAAAAAAAAAATAATAATAATAATAGAATAAAAGTCTCCAAAATATATTTTTTTAAAATGGTGGACCCCCACACGGCTTGTTACTTTTCTTCAACGAGAGGGCTGTAAACAGGATACCACATGTTCTCTTTCACATATCTAATGGTTTCATCCTGCAAATCACCAGAACAATGTAAGGATCACATTTTTTTGTTACGGCTAAAGGGGGAAGAAAAATGATTCTATCACCTTTGACATGTGTGATAGTTCTCTGGGGCCTACTTCTCCGTGTCCATCAGCCACTTCTTCTACAACTGCTGCCCTCAAAACACAGGCTCCAACCTCTGCTGTGATATCTCGTATACTGACCAAACAAAGATAAAAGTTCGTTTAGGAAAAATCGTACCACACTAAGCTATATATTTGTGAAAATACATTAAAAGGAAATAGGATAAGAGCCAAAGTAGCACAGAACGAAACATGCGTCCAATTTGGCTATCGTTGGTATTAAATGAAGAATACAGTGAGTAGATAAGCAACACAATTGTACTATGGTGATTATTATATGGATACACTACAAAACAGATATGTCGTTAGCAATTGATGCGAACCGGACTCGGAACAAATGCGGGAAGGACAATGCATTTAGGATAAATGATGTTAGTTTCTTTGTTTAAATTTTAAATATGTTTTAGCTTCAATGTGTTAGTTATATTTGAATATTTGAATGATTAGATTTAGGCTATAAAAGTCCATGTACTCATTATGTACTCATTACTGTAAGAAGGAAGTTTTATGAAATAAAGTTTAAAAATAAGGCTCGTTTCCGAGTACTGTCTTCGTGAAAACAGAGGCCGATAGTGCAGGTTTTTCACTTAATAATGTGTAGACTAAGGCCGTCAGTGCAGGTTTGCACATTTTATCGTGTTCGAACTATGGCCGTTGGCGCGGGTTCTTACACAAAATCGAGTCCCGATACACGATCTTCATCAGCAAGCAATCATGCACGTGTAAAAGAAGTCTCACCTGTGTATAGATGGATAGAGCACACCTCTTTGAATTTCTTCATCCCTCATATACGAAGCAAGGCTGCAATGGAACCAGCAAAAAATTTAAAGAAAGTTAAGGGTACATTAGATTTAATGCACTTTCATGATATGAAGAGACAACACATTTTATTTAACAAATTTGTCAAAAGTCAAGTCGCTAATGATACCTTAAAAGATTGACCATCAGTAACGTGTAATTTGTTATAACATGAAAAGTGTCCAAAGAAACCAGTTAACTTAATTTTTTGCTTAATTATAGAAAGGAAAGTGGCTAATGCGTACCACTTGGCAGCTGCTTGCAGCATTTCATCTGTAATAATGCGAGCACCAGCGAGAAGACTTCCCAAGCCAATTCTGAACGAGCAAAGCAAGTTCATACAATTAATTTATCTACAAGAGGTGGGGTGTTCGCAATATCCAAATGCAATTTCAGAATTTGCTACAGACCCTGGAAAGAGGTAAATGCTACTGGCTTGGTTGACATAACCTACTTTGCCATTCCCTGTTATAAATGGAACGAATTAGGGCTTGCCTAAATAAATAAATAAAATAAACTGAAAATATCGGACATATACCAATAGCATCATTGTCAAAATGGCTCCCACTCACAAAAACAATATTTTCACCGGCATGCTTGAAAGCCTCTGCAGCAGTACATTCGGCTGTTCCACCAAAGCATGTAACGATTTCAGGTCATGCCCAAAAGCTAGTGCGAGAGAAGATAATAGTGGTAGCAAAGGGTAGAAAACAAACCATTTGTTGTAGGATTTGACATGGCAAAAATAGCAGGTTTAATGGAGTCTGAATCTCGCATAGTCTTTAGGACCTGATCATGAGTCCACCAAGTAAGCAAAGAATTTATTCATTTTAAACGATCCATTATATTGGAGAATGGTGCAAAGAACACATACAGTATATCACACTTCGTAAACATTAAATTTAATGCCTAACAATAAATCTCAGGAAAAATAAATGCCTAAAATATTAGAAGGTAAAAAACATTTCAGGAATTTCGTAAAATAAAATATAATGTATCTGAGTGGATAATGCTTATAAGTTATATGTATAAAATGATAGAAGCATGCCATGTGTGTGAGAGACACAGGAGATTTACTATGCCTTTCTTGGTCGTAGGACTCAATTATCAGAAAGGAAAAATCTGCGAAGTCCCTAACCTAAGATAATGGGGCCAAAATAAAATGCTCTGAGTCCATCATGTTAAAAAGAACATTGTGAAGCCATTTCAATGGTTAATGAAAATAAAATAAAAACGAAATAAATCAAGGGCCACAAAACAGGTCAGAAGAAAGTCTGGGTGCCGAGGAAAGAACCTCTTCATTAAAGACACCGCCAACTCCAGATAAACCAAGAAGCACATGCAGCTTGACTTTCTTAACCTGCATCGAGACTCGTTTTCAGCAAAAATTATCTTGATCCATAAACCACTATAGAATTATCGACAAGCTGTCAATTAGTTAACATACATATGTTGAAGAAAAGATTTACCACTTCTATGAGGCTGGATCCCTCTCTAAGTCCGAGTTCTCCAATCTCACTTTGCGATTTAGCAAATGGAGAAGCTGCAGGATCAATTCATTTTCTCTCCTTCGTGATAAGACCCTGTGGACCAGTATAATCAAGTTTAATATGCCAATATACAAACCAGTCGACAAAGAAATTTCATGGAAAGTTATGCAATTCTATGACCTACTACAAATGGTATTGGCCCATTTTTGTCCTGGGATTTTTATGATTTGTTTCAATTAAAGGACCACCCAAACTCTCAAAAAACAAGAAAAAAAAAAAGAAGAAAAAGAAAAAGAAAGCCTCTCTTTTCTGCAATCTGTTTTCCTCTAGTTTACCATTGCAGAAGACACAATTACCACGAGACTTTCAAGTTTTTTAAACCAAAAAAGTAACTGAAAATTGCTAAAGAATTATTGAGACCTTAAATTATGCATTCTCACTATTTCTCTATACAACACTGTTCAAGCCAATTTTAGAATTGCACTAAAGATAACATAACATAGTTTAATAGCTGGGGGTTCCGAATAAATACATCTTTGTCAAGAAGGAAGAAGTGAGGATCTGCATTTGACCCACTCATTCTTGAAACAGCCTGTAGAACACCAAGTCCCGCACTGCAAGTACAGACCGTGGGTTAAGGAAATAGTACAAAGCTTCCCACAAACCATTAAAAGTTTCCTAAAGTTCTCAGAGGAGAAACAAATAGTCAACCAAGCAACCTTCCAGCCCCAACCACGACTATCTTTTGGTTTGCAAAATTAGCCAATGGCTTCCCCTGTGCCCTAACAGTACCAAGTAGTCCAGCCAATGCAACACCAGCTGTTACCTGTATGTATGTATGTGTCACAAATATAAAACATTCGTTCAGAGACGCACATTCAGAAACCTCTTCTTAAACTTATCATTCATCCAAGTAAACAAAAGAGCAGAGTCTGACATCATTTTACCTGTATGTCATCATTGAACATGCAAAACTTTTTACGGTACCGATCGAGAGTCACAAAGGCCCACTTCATTTGAAAATCTTCAAACTGAGATTGTCCCAACAGCATATTGTTAACAATGTATTTGACTACAATATCATTAAAGTAAATTATTTAAACAAATGACCTGCACAATAGCCTTTGGCCAACGTGCATGAATAGCTTCCATGAGTTCATCAACAACAGACAAGTATTCTTCTCCCTCCAGCCTTGGTTTTCTGACTCCTAAATCTATTAAACTACAATAACATCAGTAGCCAATATATATATATATATATATATATATATATATATATATATATATATATATATATATATATATATATATATATATATATATATATATATATATATATATATATATATATATATATATATATATATATATATATATATATATATATATATATATATATATATATATATATATATATATATATATATATATATATATATATATATATATATATATATATATATATATATATATATATATATATATATATATATATATATATATATATATATATATATATATATATATATATATATATATATATATATATATATATATATATATATATATATATATATATATATATATATATATATATATATATATATATATAGGACGGATCCAATGACACCACTCCTTAAAATGAGTACGTGAGACTCAATCTTAGCCACTCATTTTGTCTAGATCAAAATCAATTAAAATATACATTAATTAAATAATAAAATAATTATTAGTTGACTCCGGCGTTGACCGTTGACTTCCGGCAAAAATAGTTGACTTTCGGTGAAAATCGTCGACTTTCGGCGTTACCGTTGACTTCCGGCGTTGACCCGTTGACAACTAACCTAGCAGTAAGAAAGAAATACCCTAGCAACAAAAGACAGGATTTCTGGTTGCGCGCGGCGACCTTCCCATTACCTACCTTGGTGTCCCTTTATATAAGGGCAACCTCACGAGAGCGCTCTTTGCGGACGTCAGGCAGAGGATGATCGACAAGATTTTTGGTTGATCGCATAGACATCTTTCATTCGGTGGTTCGGCTTGCCCTGATCAAGAGCACCGCTTCATTTACTTATGGTCCTCGACCCCTCTAGGTCTACTCTTGACGAGATTGACCAGATTATGACTCGTTATTTTTGGGGTTACGAGGACGGTTCCGAGAGGGGGAGACATACCCACTGGGTGAGTTGGGACTCTATCTCCCGCCCCTTCTCTAAGGGTGTCCTTGGCATCCGCCGCCTCAGAGATATTGTTACAGCTTTCTCCTACAAGTTGTGGTGGCGCTTCAGGGAGGGAAAGTCGTTTTGGGCTCAGTACCTTCGCGACAAGTACTGCCCTAGACATGTCAACCACCCTTGATGGGTGAAGGCGGTTGATCATGATAGCAGACAGTGGCGGCGCCTCACTAGGGTCGGTAGGCGCGCCCAGGATCACATCTTCTGGGTTTTGGGTGAGGGCGAGGTTAGTTTCTGGAATGAGTGGTGGTTAGGTGATAAGCCGTTGTCTAGGGATAGGCAGGTGACACATTCCCCCTACCTGCTTGTGAGTGACCTTTGGACGGGGGTCGTGGGATAGGGGGAAGCTTGATAGGGAGTTAGGCTCTGGTGCGAGTTTTAGCGAGCATTTACTAGATCAAATCCAGCAGATACCCATCTCGGGGGACGGTTCAAATGGCATAAGGTGGAGACTTACATCATCGGGTGTGTTTTCTACTACCTCGGCTTGGGAGCAGATCAGGCTGAGAGATCGGCCTAATCTCCTCTTCGGAGCCATCTGGAGCGATCTTTTCACCCCTACCATTTCTGTGTTCCTTTGGAGCCTTCTTTTGCGCCGGATACCCGTGGATACTGTGTTACACGCGAGAGGGATCTCCTTCCCCTCTCGGTGTGTGTGTTGTTCTCAGACTGGACGCCATGAGACCGAGACCTTTATCCACCTTTTTCTAGATAGTGAGGAGAGTGTGGGAGTACTTTGCCACTTGGACCCATATATCCCTACCCACCACAGACAGTTTTTTTGAGCTCCTGAGTTTTTTCTCATAGAGCACAAACCTTAGACACGTGGGCTTCCTGGCTTCCTCAACTTTGACGGGAACTACGAGCATACTTGCGGGACCATCATCCGCTCGGAGGGAAACAAGGTGAAGGCCCAATTCACTCAGACCGAAACTGACGCCCTTGTCGGTAAGTTAGCTAACACCCTCGTTTTTAAGTTTACTTATGTTATCCCTGCCCCCGAGATATATCTGCTGGATTAGGTAATCTGAGTTTTAAGGGTAGAGTTTCGTCTAAGTGGTATAATTTCAACCACCTCCTAATCTCTTTCCATCTCCCCGAGGACTATAACGAGGTTTGGCTTAAGACCTCGATTCACGTGTGTGGATGCCCAGCTAGGGTGTTCAAGTACACTTTCGGGTTTAACCCGAAGACGCCTATTGTCCCCGTGTGGTGCCGTCTTCCCGGCCTCCCACCCCACCTTTACGACCATGATTCCATCACTACCTTGCTAAGTGCATAGGACAGCCGATTCGCATTGACGCCCCGATGGCTCTTCAGTCGAGGGCTAATGTGGCGCGATTTTGTGTAGAGATAGACCACAGAGTCAAGCCCGTCAACGAGATTGAGCAGGGCTCGGAGACCTTTGCTCAGCAGGTGATCTATGAGAAGATCCCCGTGTTCTGCACTTTGTGCAGTCATGTGGGACATATTGCGGCTGATTGCTACACTAGTGGCAATAAGCCACGACCAACACTTCCGCAGCGCCACCGTGCGACTCAGCCAGGGCCCTCCAGCGCCCGGAGGGACCCGAAGGGAAAGGGCAAAAGCGCTCTTCGTGCGCCCGAGACCTCGAAGGGGTCTAAGGATAAGGGCAAGGCTGTGATCGACGCCACTTCCCAAACTGGGAAGGATGCTCATCCTAACCAGTTGGCCATAGTAGGACTCAAGCCCAAGTCCACGGGCTTTCTTCCCAGACAGACCTTACAGTCGGCCTTCAAGGCCAACCACTCGTACTTTGCTATTCTCTTCCCAGAGGCAGAGAAAGAGGTTGTGCCTTCCACCAGTGGCCCACCTAGGATTACGGACCTTACGCTTCTTGATAACAACGACCTCCTTGTAGACGATATGGACCAGCCGGACGCCTCGTCCAGGGACGAGTCCATCCACTTATCTGATGACAGTGCGCGCGATGCTGGTCCTTTGACTGTGCATGCATCTAGCCCGGACTGCTCTCTGGATTTGAGGGCCACCGTCGTCACCGCTCCCCTGAAAGGGGATGAGTCGGCCCATCTTCTCTCTGCTGAGATTGGGAGTTCAACTGAGCATATAGTCGCCTCCCTCTGGCGGCGAGCACCTGAGTGCTCCGCCTGCTGGATCCTCTCTTTCACCCATCCCCGAGCAGGCATGCGGTCTTAACCGCGCCCAGCACGACGTCTCGTGCGAGAGTTTCGCCTCTAGTGCCTTCGTTCACTATGACAGACAAGAGACAGCCCCGGAGATGGGGCAACCCGCTAGTGCCGCTGTAGGTCAGACTGCCCAACCAGACGACACACAGGCCACGAGCACCTGGCTCTGGTCCTCGTGGACTGTCGGTCTCGGTAGGTGCTCGTGGCCTGCGTGTCGTCTGGCTGGACAGTCTGACCTAGAACGGCACTAGCGAGCTGCCTCATCTTCGGGGCTGTCTCCTGTCTGTCATAGTGAACGAAAGCACTAGAGGCGAAGCTCTCGCACGAAACGTCATGCTGGACGCGGTAAAGACCGCATGCCTGCTCAGGGATGGGGAGAAGAGAGGATCCAGCAGGCGGAGCACTCAGGTGCTCGCCGACAGAGGGTGGATGGGGGCTGGCTATATGCTCAGCCGAGCTCCCAATCTCAGCAGAGGGAAGATGAGTCGACTCATCCCCTTTCCGGGGAGCGGTGACGGCAGCAGCCCTCAAATCCAGAGAACGGTCCAGGCTAGATGCATGCACAGTCAAAAGAACAACGTCGCAGGCGCTGTCATCAGACAAATGGATGGACTCACCATTGGTCGAGGCGTCCGACTGGTCCATATTGTCTACAAAGAGGTCGTCGTCGTCTAGAAGCGTAAGGTCCGTAATCCTAGGTGAGCCACTGGTGGAAGACACAGCCTCATCATCTGCCTCAGGGAAGAGAATAACAAAGTACGAGTGGTTGGCCTTGAAGGCCGACTGGAAGGTCTATCTAGGAAGAAAGCCCGTGGACTTGGGCTTGGGCCCTATTATAGCCAACTGGTTAGGCTGGTTAGGATGAGCATCCTTCCTAGTTTGGGCAGTGGTGTCGATCACAGCCTTGTCCTTATCCTTAGCCCCCTTCGGGGTCTCGAGCGCATGGAAAGGGCTTTTGCCTTTACCCTTCGGGTCCCTCTGGGCGGTAGAGGGCCCCGGCTGAGTCGCCCGGTGACGCTGCGGAAGTGTGGGCTGTAGCTTATTGCCACTAGTGTAGCAATCAGCCGCTATATGCCCCACATGACTGCACAAGGTGCAGAACGCGGGGATCTTCTCAAAGATCACCCGCTGAGCAAAGGTCTCCGAGCCTTGCTCAATCTTAATCTCATGGATGGGTTCGACCCTGAGGTCGATCTTTACACAAAACCGCGCCACGTTAGCCCTCGACTGGAGGACCGTCGGGGCATCAATGCAAATCGGCTGACCAATACACTTAGCAAGCGTAGTGATGGAATCACGGTCTTAAAGGTGGGGTGGGAGGCCGGGAAGACGGCACCACACGGGGACAACGGGGGTCTCCGTCTTCGGGTTGAACCCAGAAGTATACTTGAACACCCTAGCTGGGCATCCACACACCGGCAGTGGCATCAGCTTCGGCTTGAGTGAATCGGGCCTTGACCTTTGTGTCCCTCCGATCTGATAATGGTCCCACAGGCATATTCATATCCCCCATCAAAGGTGAAGTCCTTGGCCGTCGGACACGGGGCGCCCGTGCCGCCTTCTCTCCTCCCCGTAATAGACTCTCGGAAAGAAAGCGGCCCATTGAATGTGGCCGGAAGGGACCCGACTGCAGTGGGGTTGGCCGTTGAGGTGTCCGTCGGCGGAGTCCCGTTTGGGGAAGGTTCGGAAAAAAGGGGTGCGGTCGACGGGATTGGGCCCGCAATAACTACACCGTCTTCACGCACACATAAGACATCCGGTTCAGGGTCTCCAGCAGCAGTGGTGGCAATTCCGGCGGGTTGTTCGGTCGGAGAAGGTGAAGTTGGACGGGGTCCGAGAATTCCAGCCATAGAGTCCGATTTCGGAGCAGGGCCGGATGGAGCGCCGGCCAGCTGCGACTTTCCGGTGGCCCTGCCGGCGCCGGCGTGTGGAGGATGGACTTCACCTGCCGATTGGCTATTGGCGACAGCTTGGCAGACGACGGGCTGAGAGGAAGGTTGAGTCGGGGCTAGCTGGGGGTTGGGCTGACGAGGTTGAAAGGAGTTGGGTTGATGGCCTCGGTTAGCATTGGGCTGAGATTGTTTGTTGTTGGGCTGGAAATGGGTGGGTTTAGGGGGCTGATTGATGATAGATTGAGGATTAAGATGTGTTGTGTGTTGGACGGGCCTGAAATTATGGGGTTGGGAAGGAAAATTGCAAGGTTGAGGGATGGTCCCAATGTGCGAGATGGTCTCAGAGAGGGAAGAGGTTTTATGGCCAAATGGCTGAGAGTTAGCCACGTTTCCACTCAATTGCCCAAACCCTACCATTTGGCATAAAGGCTGAGGCGTGGATGAAGGAGGTTAACCAGTCAACTCTGGGAGGGTGACGGCGGAGGTCGTCTTCTCCAAAGGAATGAGCTGCAGTGATGGAGAAGAACTGAAGGCGAGCGCGGTACAAGATTTTCCATCGTCACTGAGGAGTGATCGATAGACTGAGGCGTCTTTTCCAAAATTTCCGCGATTAATCCTTGACCTTTATGCTGTGAGTCCGGCGCAGAGGACCCAAGGATAACCGGACCTTGGCTTCCAACCGGATCTCGGGTGTTGACAACAGCTTGGCAAGTGACGGGAAACTCGGTCGCAGAAGGTGGGATTTCCCCTTCTTCCAACCGGTGGTTTCTGCGCAAAAAATCCGAGAGCATTTGTTGGACTTCTGGTAGTGACAAAAGGTTGAGGACCTCCAGCGAGAGGCTGGCTGAAGATTGGGGGAGAGGTGATGAAATAACCGATAAAGTGAGGTGAGATGGGTCCATAACTGAGATTGGGGAAAATAAAATACGAAGAATGAAAATGGGAAAGAAGGAGAAAATGCGGGGAGGCCGCCGCGGTGGGGACGACTAGTCAGGGGTAGTGGTCGGGGCACTAGTCAGGGGTAGTGGCCGGGGGGGAAGAGAGGTGGTGGGTTGGGGTGAAAGTGGGGAATGGAAAACCTAGAGAGAGAAAGTTAGAGAGAGGTGAGAGCATTTGGTTTTCTTCCATTTCACACGCTTGTACGGATGGACCAACTTGGATATCCATCGTTCCGCTTTCAGTAGATTAGATTTACTGCTTTCATTAGATTAGACTTTTTATTCCGGGCGCTTGTTAGCCCAGACTTTGTATTGTTTTTTCGTTTTTGTTTTTTGTTTTGTTTGTGAGACTTTGTAGACTGTTCTATGTTGATATTTTGGGCCCCATTTTGGGTCTTGATCTATGCACAGGCTGGGGATCCCCTGCCCTTCCGGGGCGTTGTTTAAAAAAAAAAAAATAGCAACAAAAGACAACTAACCTAGCAGCAAGAAAAAAAAATCTAGCAACTTAAGACAACTAACCTAGCAACAAAACTCAACTAACCTAGCAGCTACAAATAACTAACCTAGCAACAAAACACAACTAACCTAGCAGCTAAAGATAACTAACCTAGCAACAAAAGACAACTAACTTAGCAGCAAGAAAGAAATAACCTAGCAACAAAAGACAACTAACCTAGCAGCAAAAAAGAAATAACATAACAACAAAAGACAAACGATCAACGGTCAACGCCGAAAGTCAACGATTTTCGCCGGAAGTCAACAGCCAACGCTGGAGTCAACGGTCAATGGTCATAATAATATTTAAATAATTAAAAATAAAGAATTAAATAATAAAAATAAAAAATTATTATTTAATAAAGATCTAAATCTTGTGGCTAGGAATGAGTCTCACGTCCTCACTTTAAATAAGCGGATGCATTGGAACCAATCCCTATATATATATATATAAACGTTTGATTATTTTTAAAATAGTTACTGTTTCCACCAAAATAAATTCTATTTACTATACTTGGAAATAAATCAGGTATAAAGTGGCCAATTTTATTTTTGGTATTTGATTATTGTTTCTATGGTAAATAAATCAATCAATATATTCAATATATGGTCTAAAGTGATGAATTTATTTTTGGTATTTGATGGTCATTTTAATTTATTTTTTGATATCTAATTGATGTGCGTGTTTCGATATTTTTTCATAGAAAATGCTCTAGTCAATTTTTTATTTGTATAATCACTAGTCTCGATAATTCATTTTTGTTACGACATTTCAAATAATTTTTTGTGTGAACTTCAATTTTATTTTTTAGCATGACAAAGAGTGTCGATTTTTTTGGTATAAAAAATCTAAACATTAATATAACCAATTATTTTAGAATAAATGTGTGTCTCCTTTTTATTTTTGGGTAAGCTTGGGATTCGATTTTTTGTATAAGAAATATTAAAAATAATATGACCGATATTTTTTGGTATATATGATGGAGTGGAAGTCAAAATTCCAATGAACTCTTATAAAAATGGCATTCTATATCGTATTAATCATTTTTAACAAAAAACTTTCTTAATTTGTGCCAAAATTGATGAAACAACCAAAACATACGCAAGTTCTATATAAAAAAAAAATCGATATTGTCGATTTGATTCGATATATCTGATATAAAAAAATATTAATTGATTAGCAAATACCAAAGTATAACTGCCAAAATCTCAAAATCAAATATTACATAACTACATTGCAAATCACCAATTGATTAATTTGCAATATATAAATAAACAAATATTGAAAAAATATAATAGCATGAGATTAACTAAAAAAAGTGTGAAATACATAAAGTAAATCTTTATTATTTTGTTAATAAGTGTTATTTGCACACGTTTAAAAATTGACATGAATCATAGGTAATTTATTACCTTTGTTAAAATATTTTCATATCAAATATTTATGAAATTGATATAAAATATATTTTGTTAGTGTAGATCGATGTTGTCTACTCATCCTGCTTTTAATTTACTTTTTTGTTACACCAATACATGATTTATACTAATTTAACATGATGTCCAAATTCGATTTGTTCAAGGATGTCACTAGAACTAAGAAGCTACCCACGAAGTTGCGTACAATTCAAATAATTGAACACAAATTTCAGACTAAATATAAGAATTTCTTGAAAATCCTATTTCATGATGAGGACTTCCGACAAACCCTCCCGGTTATTCAAGAGTCGTCAGGATATCTTCTGACATATGGGCTAACCGTACTGTGAGGCTTACAACAAATATGCACCTTCAGAGCATTGGTGATTCGGATGAACGCAAATAGATGATTGTTTTTGCTAGTTGGATAGCAAGCATAGGAGATGGAACTAGATCCAATGATGGATGCACCTTGATAGACATACTTGATGATATATTGTTGGAGTCCACTGATGATACTATCACTCGCTGCAATTGTTGAGAGCATATATTCAATGTTTAAAGATGCAATCGATGATACCATTTATTTGAAAGATAGGGTTATACTAACCCCAACATTGGAGGTGGTGAGTCTATCAATGAGCGACGTCTTTGAACGTGACTGATTGTCAAACATACTTGAGCTCTGATAGTACGTGTAAATATGATTCCAATAATAATTTTTTGTCCGATCTCCACACCCCCGAGCTTTTAAATACTATAAGATGTTTTGGAGTGGCGGATCATGAGTTGAATCTTAAGATAGGAACTATAGTTATGTTGTTGCGGAACATTGACCATTCTATGGGATTGTGCAATGGTACGAGATAGGTTGTTACAAAGCTCTCAACGCATGTGATTGAATGTAAGGTATTCACTAGATCTAATGTAGGAGATAAAGTGTTGATACCTCGGATGACTCTAACAACTTTTGACACGTTAGAGTACATTTTAAATTTTAGCTGAGGCAGTTTCCTCTAATGGCTCTTATGCCATGACGATTCAAGAGTCAGGGTCAGTCTTTATCACATGTTGTCAACATGTTCTTGAAGAAGTCGGAGTTCAATCACAGTCAGTTGTATGTAGCTGTTTTCTTGTGTCTCTAATCGAAAGGGATTGAAAATATTAGTTTGCAGGGAGAATGATGTGCCTACAAGGCAAAAAATGTTGTCTACAAGAGGTTTTTATAATATACAAGGATTTTGTATATTATATTTATTTAATTTCTTTATTCACGAATATAATAATAAAGCAAGATAAATAGCCGTAAAACTGTCCATCCGTACTAGTAATTACCAAGGGAAACATTAAAGAGAGTTAATTACTTCTTGCAGCAATATGCTTGTTAAGATTGAAAAGTAAAACAAGAACAAAAATAAAGAGGCAGAACTTCAAGTAATAAACATAAGCATCTGGAAAGGCAAAGACAAACAGAAGGATATTTAAGCAAGATCACACGTGAACACGTTGAGAAATTTTACTCACAAAGACGGTCTTGAAGTAACTTTTGGTTGTTGGTACCAACATCAAGCATAATTGGCAGTACCTGGATATATGAATAAGTAAACCCAGGTCTTAGAAATTTATTAAGTAATATAATGGCACCATATCTATCTTCATATAACATCATTTTCATTTTATAACTTCTAAATGGAAACTTAAATCATGTGTATATGAATATATTTACATCATATGTGCCGGCACGGTTAACGAACCTGCTTGTCATCAATGAAGACAGAACAGAGATGAGAATTGACATACCTTTTGTGGGTTGATGCCAGCAGCAGCAACATACATGTCAAGTTTAGCAATAGGAACACCTATTCCCTGAACTCCAAGGTCACCCAGACCAAGAATGCGACTCCCATCTGTGAGCACAATCATATCAACCTGCAAGAGGAACAGTTCAACAAAGAATTTCAAGTTCATAGTAGAAGAAAAAATAATTTACCAGAAAAAAAAGGACAAAAGAAGAAAAGGAAAACCAACACAATTATTATTAAATGAGATGTCAAAATTGCAAGTCAAATCATAAAATCATAGCCACATAACAAACTTATGATATTATCTAACATGTCACATTGCATTTATATTTGCAGGCTTCTACGTCCCAAAGATGATTGCTCCCAATTTTCTGGATTGAAAAACTAGAACTAGAAACTGCTAAGGAAGAAAATATATGATAAAGTGGCAAAAATTACTGATTGTATCGTTTTAAACAATGAAGCCAGCATCTAAGGATAATAATACCTGCTGAGCGGGCCAGGTGTAGATCATAGACATCATCTCCCCTTTATCTTTGGCACTGAAATACATGCCACGCAAACGTCTAAACAAACCTGAGTAATTTTGGCACACCAATCCAACTGTTGGAGTGTATATTATGGGGGTAAAGTTCTTGATGTTATCAATCAAGACCTGCAATATAAAATAAAGGACACCTTCAACTTATACAATCATGACAGCAATCTTTTGTACCATCCATGGCCCATGGGTCAAACACTTACTCGATAATATAATGTCTCATTCCTGTCATGGAGTCTATTCAAAATTCTCCATTTCGAAAGGGATACAACTTCATTCTGTTGCCCTTGAGTATTCATTTCCATGGACCTATATGATTCCACTAACAACACACAGGCAGTAGAATAATTATCATAACTTATTTATGAAATTTAGTTCTAGCCAATTCAATGTAGCAGAGGAGCTAGTAAACTCACTGAAATGAGCATATTGCTGCTCAAATGATATCACTCATGGTGGAAGCAGACCGCGTAATCCCAGACGATCTCTCTCTGCCAAAGTGAAGCTTGTATCCTGTTGTTTAGGAATTTCAGTGAGTATATGATTGATTCATCAAGGCATAAGATGTAAAAAGATTTTCAAATTTGATTCTACATCTTCATTTGGCTGCCTAATGCTAGGAAAAACAATCATCAGGTTGGTATAGGCATGAATAAAAGAAAGATGAAAAACTACAAACGATAGTTCAACTAACATAGGTTCTGTGAAGCTCAATACTTTCAGTTTACATATCCATCAGTGGCTTTATGTGTGTATCTACTGATGCAAGAGTAAAAACAACTAGTAAGTTTGTTTCTCTCAATAGAAACCCACACTGCTTTTAGCCACCCAACAAGAGACAGCAACTTCCAACAACCTCAAAGTACATATCCTTATATCCACAGCTCTATGGATTTCAAGCTAAATAAATATAGTTACATCTCATTCAATAAAATTGAAACTGTAGTGATTTAACATGATGAAGACGATAGNAAAAGAAAAAAGCTAGAAACACTTAAGCAGATCTCAAAAATCATTACACGCCGCACAAGACCCAAGCCCAAAGTGCAATAGCAATATCAGAATCTCAGCAATCTCGAATACAACACAATCGAGCTTCAAACAGCAAAACTACCATTAAAAAGAGGACTGATAAAACAAGATCAACCTTGTTTAACCAAGGATCGTTGAGAATATCCGTGCCGCGCTTGTGCACGATGCAAGGTCCGGGAATCGCGGTCGACATCGCCCGCCGCCGGCACTGGCGGAAGCCCGACGCCACAGATCGCGCCACCCTCCACATCACCTTGCCTCGATCGAAATCCAAAAATTGAAATATTATATCTTATGCATTTATGTATTTACTCTTTTAAACCTTAATTACTCACTCGGTAAGTTATATTTGTAAACCCTAATCTTTAGTATATATATACACGGCTGACCTCTCTCGGCATCAGATCAGATGACCGATTTCACTATCGTGTTCTTTTCTCTTACTTTGTCATGATATCAAGAGCAATGTTAAGATTTTTATATCACAATTTTGTGTGCGTGAGGCAATATAGTTATTAGGCATATCAACTCAATCATATTCTTTTTCAAAAAAATATATATTTATTTATACTTTTGTTTATATTGTTTTTAGAGTATGACACTTCAGTTTCAAAGAATACACATCTATTGAAAAATTATTGCAGCCTAACCATTTTGCTAACATTACTACAAGAAAGTGTTGAAATTCTAATAAAAATATATTCCAGTGGAATTTTAAATAAAATATTCAATTGGAACTTGTTTTGAGATGTGACCTAAAAAATACTACAACTCAATGTGGACTGCGGAGTGGATATCCTAAAAAAGAATCACGACCTAAGTTCGAATGAGCAGAAAGAATAAGAAGGAATCTTAAGGATAAGAATGAATTTTAAGGTGACTAAGAGGTGACTAAGAGATGATTAGAATATGGATAAACACTAAATCTGGGCTGTCGGGTAGGATATTTCGGGTATATATTTCCCTATAAAAGGGGCTGAGGTATTACCAAACCATATCTTTACATTCTATATACATTATATACTGCTCTTATTCACAGAGCACCATCATCTTCTTCCTAAGACTGACTTAGGCATCAGAGGCCCATCGCCAGAAACTCCTCCGACATTGAGTTCTTGAAGGTACACGCGACAGTTCAGACGGATTGAAGCTCGTCTCAGGCCGTGGTTCTGGTCATTATGATGGCGAGGCGAGTGGCCGACTTCTCAGTGTCTTTGCAGAGGCGGACCTGTGGATTTTTCTTCGGGCGTCGGTCGCGGCTTCGATTTTCACCTGGTAGAAACCAGAGTAAAGATTCCAGCTCTTTTCTACCGTGTCCTGTCTGTTTCTGGTGTTGGACGGAGGGGACAACTGACAAACTTGGGCCGTGGTCCGGGGTCTGGGCCTGTGTCATTAGTGTTGGTTTGGGTGGTTTTATGGTGTGAGTCTCCGGGTGAGGGTTTCGAGTTGGTTCCGTCGGTGTCAGTCCCAGTTAGGCGTAGCTCTGCCGTTTCTGATTCTTATTCTGGGTCGGGGCTCTGTATGTTGGGTGGATGTCCGTTGGTGTTGCCATTGTTTATCTTGGTGTGGTTCGCCTACTGCGGGAAGGGTTGTTTAGTTTTTTCTTTTGTTTTAGTGTTTTTGTTGTGTTCATTTCTTTCGCTCCCGTTGGGAATGCGTCCAGTCTATTCTCCACTTGTGGGAGCTTTTGTTTCCTTGTCTCCTTTTGGAAGTTTCTTGTGTTTGTGTCATTTTTTCGGTTGGTTCTAGGCTACCGTCGGTGTAGTTCTCCTAACTAGATTCAATTGATAGTTGCTTTATTCGGTCGTGTGGCTATTATATTCGGTTGTGTGGTTGTTATATAAATATTTATAACATCTATCATTTCGAAAAAAAATGATGTAAGAGAATTAGCGATAGTTGTTTTTTCTTTAGGTACGACAAATATCTTTTCCAGATTTTTAAGCTCCGGCAAACTTGAACAGAACAAAACATGAGCAAAAATATATTTATAATTATAATACCTGAGGCTTTAAAAATTGTAGAAATGTAAATGGTGTATGATTTTCATATTTTTCTACTACAGGTCTTGGTTCCTATATATAGGCAAGACTTCTGCCCAACATGGGAGCTAGGGTTCCTCATGGCTTTAGTAATAAAGACTACCGCGAGCAACTATCAAACAGTTATAAGGTGTTATACTACCTTAAAACACATGATAACTCTTGAAACGGTCATGTGTAAATTACACTGTCCAAGTACAATGTATAGGGAGAGAGATCCAACTTGTTGGAATGAAGCTTTAATAGTCCATATACTATTGGAGTTTTAATTTTGGGCCAAATATATGCAAATAAACTTACAACATAAAGATTATAGAGATTAGGCTCAAAGCCCAAATCCTATACTGTCCCAAACCATCTAAAGTTGCCCCAAGTCCAATTTGCAACCAGCACCTACACTTAGTACATAGTTTTAATTATTTTGACCTCTCAATATCTTTTGTTATAATAAAACGATGTAATAAATGTACCTCGTATGTTGGTTATCTAAAACTTGATGTAGAAACGTAACTTGTAACATCATTTTGTGAATAACCGACCTAACAAAGTTTACTTCTTATATCGGTTCTTGGATAACCGTGTTGTTAAACCTCTTCCCATAATTGATTTTCTAGCTGTTCACATCCTATATTTCACAACTTTACATGTGTTTTATTACAATCGATGTAAAAATCACGTCTTGTTACATCGGTTCATAACCACCGATGTAAAACGAGTCTTTTACCCGATGTAAAAGTATTTTTTATACTGATCATATCAACTTATTGTAGTATAAGGTTAGCAGGTTGATTGATTTTATTTCTCTTCTTTCAGTTGGTTGCCTTGTTGTATGTTCTCGATCCCCACTTTTCCTCACCTTGATTCTGAGTTTTGAGTTCATATACCTTCTTTATTTGCTTCTATTCCAAAGGTTATTACTTTATTTCTCTTACTAATGTGTACCCGTGCGATGCACGAGATCAATATTAAATTAACAATATTATAAATAGACCTCGAGTTTGAGTCACTTAATGGCGGAAGTGAAACTACTATTGATCATATTTAAAAAGAGGAAGAAAAAAATAATTATAAATAAAAGAGAAGGATAAATGATATTTAATAATTATAAATTAAAGATTCAGGGTCAAACAATGTAAAATTATTTTGTATAAGAGAATATAAAAAAATTTGATTACACACCATTTCAAAATTATTATTATACTTTTTGTAGGGTTAGTTTATAATATTTGTAAAAATATTAGTAATTAGACCGATGAAAATTACCTTCTTAAAGTAGATAATGGATTTCTAGTAGTAATTATGAAATGGTTTCTATTTTATTTTATTTTTTCTTTTTAAAGATAATGGATTTCTAGTAGTAATTATGAATCAATTTTTATTTTATTTTATTTTTTCAAATCTGTATAGATAATGGATGAGATATTTTAAACACGTGAGACGTGCAATGAGATTTTGTAACAGAAGAGATAAGCTCGTGTAGATTTATACTAAAAATAGGAAGAAAAAAAACAAATATTTATTGTCAGGCAATGAGATTTGGTAACAAAAGAGATAAGCTCGTGTAGATTTATACTAAAAATAGGAAAAAGAAAAACAAATATTTATTGTCAAACAACGGTTTTGATAAACTAAGAAACAGGAAAAAGAGTAACAAATCTTTACACAATTAATGAGCCGATTTTTTTTTGCCTATTCGGATTTGTCCAATAATTACTATATCTAAGATATATTTAATGATTTTGGCGGGAAAAAGTTTCTAAATTTATAAAAATATTATTCTTTTTATATAATGATAGATTTTAATCAACTCATATTCGAACCATGGTTTTTGCGTGTGGGTAATCTTTATCTTCTCTTTCTCATGATCAATCATTACTAAGATCTAATTATGAAGAGTCTTACTCGTGAGCACTATTCTAAAAATCGGCCTAGGCGGTGCCCGGGCGCATCCGATTTGTACAAATCGGCAGAAAAAATCGGCCAGGCGGCTAGGCGGCGCCTAGGCGGGCCTAGGCGGCCCTAGGCGCTCCTAGGCGCCCTTGGCGGGCTCGGCGGCCAGGCGTCTAGGCGGGCTCGGCGGACCTAGGCGCTCCTAGGCGGGCTCGGCGGCAATTTTTTATTTTTTTAAATACTAATTACATTATTTTGTTCTCATGTTTTCTTTAATATATATTAATATTATTATTTGAACTTTGGTGTGTGAATTTATTATATGTTGAGATAATTTTATTTTGTAGGTAGTTAAAATAAATAAAAAATAAGGTATTTAATATTGATTTTTGGGCCCCGACTAGGCGCTAGGCGTTGGTCGACCGCCTAGCGACTTTTAGAACACTGTAGATTTCAGTGGTGGGCTCGATTTACTTCGGCTACTATGCGACGGACTCCTTTTTCGGCCCCATTATTAGTCGTTTGTCCTCTGGCCCTTTTGAGGATTATTTGTTGGCCGATGGATTTCTTTTCCAGGGCGTGCGCCTATGTCTTCTGGATTGCGGTCTTCGCTTACAGCTGATGGCGGGTTTACATGGTGCTTGTCACGTGGGTGACGACCGTTTCATTGAGCTAGTTCAGCGTTCATATTTCTGGCCCTCTTTGTGACGTGATGTGTCTATGTTTGTTGAGCGTCGCAGGGTTTGCCACGTGTTCAAGGGGGTGGCGACGAACGTCGGTCTTTATCGGCCATTGTCGATTTTTACGCGATCATGGAGTGCGATTACTATGGATTTTGTTTTGGGCTTGCCTCGGACGCAGCGGGCCATGATTCTATCTTCGTTGTTATCGGCCGCTTTTCAAATATGGTGCACTTTATCCTCTGAAAGCGGACATCCGCTGTCGTGCATGTCACTCAGTTGTTTTTTCGAGAGGTGTATCGTCTGCATGGCCTTCCATCTTCTATTATTTCCAACCGCGACACTCGATTTCTTAGCTACTTTTGGCGGATCCTGTGACCTCTCGCCAATACCAGCCTGGATTATAGTAGCACTTACCATCCACAGACTGATGGTCAGACTGAGGTCGTCAACCGTTCTCTCGAGATTTTATTACGTTGCTTAGTGGGCGAGAACTTGCGTAGCTGGGATGCTCTGCTTAGCCAGGCTGAGTTCGCACACAACTCGACCATTAGTAGGGTGACGGGTTTCTCTGCGTTCCAGTTGGTGTATGCGATTCTGCCTCGTGGTTCGGCCGATCTGTTGTCCTTGCCATCCATCGAGATGTCTGATCGTCATGCTAAGGATTTC